CAATAAATCACAAGTTCCACAAAATCTTCAACAGAAACACCATAAAAGTAAGCTATAGCTGTATGCCGAACATGAAATCTATCCTAAATGCACACAATCGACAAATTATGAACAACAAAAAAGATCCACCTAAAACCAATTGCAACTGCCTTAATAAAAGCACCTGCTCTCTATCAAACCAATGCTTAACAAAAAACATCGTATACCAAGCTAAAATAAGTTCAACTAATCCTACTACCACTCCTGTCAACAAACTATACATCGGTATAAGCGAAACACCATTCAAAATTAGATATGCCAACCATATAAAATCATTTAACATTCTAAAATACAAAAATGACACTGAACTATTAAAAGAATTTTGGAAACTGAAAGATGCAAATTTAAACCCAGTTATTAAATGGAAAATAATTAAGCAGTGCAATGCTTACAACCCAACCACGAAGTCTTGCAAACTGTGTATAAATGAAAAAATATCAAGTTCTGTTTTCCAAAAATAAAAATCTACTTAACAAAAAAAGCGAAATGATATCCAAGTGCAGGCATCGAAACAAGTTTCTTCTCGCCCATTTCGACACGGCCGATTAAACAATCTTCTAATTAAAAATTTGTTTTGACGTCAGAACTCATTCTATTGCTTTGTTATTGTTTTTTCTGTTAATTTTTGTATTTTGTATTTTTTAACGGTTTTTTCTTGATTTAAAAGAATAAAATAAGGCTGATGATTGCCGAAGGGCATGAAACTTCAAGTCCCATCACAAAGTTGTATTTTTTCAAATAATCAAACTCTTTTATTATATATATATATATATATATATATATATATATATATATATATATATATATATATATATATATATATATATATATATATATATATATATATATATATATATATATATATATATATATATATATATATATATATGTATATATATATATATATATATATATATATATATATATATATATATATATATATATATATATATATATATATATATGTATATATATATATATATATATATATATATAAATTGTACACATCAAATTCTTTGTCTATATACTTATCGAAGACCGCTAGTATTAAAAAAAGATTTATAAGGCCACTCTAAGTGCTTACTATAGAAATTAAAAATCGGATGTTATTAAGTATTCTAAGTTTTTCTTAACTTAAATATTTCGGCTGCATCTAAATGAAAATTTACTCTTTTAATAATTCTAATAGCTGTTGTTTTTCATAATTTAAAAAACATCTGTAATCTTTTTTTTTTTTTTTTTAAATCTGTATTAGGATATGGGTGATAACTGATTAACTAGTAGTATATTAACAAACTTTTCTTGATCACTGTTCCAAATATTAGGAAATTTTAAAGATAAAAAAACAACTAATCAAATTGGTACTCTTGAGAAAAAAATCTTTTGCGTAATTTAGTTTTTAAAAAATATAAAAAAATAAATACTTAAAACAAATTCTTATCACAAATGGGGAAAAGAAAGATCACTAAAATAAAAAAGTCAAACTACAATGTTAATTTAAACCCACGACGACCGCTTTACCTTCTCAGAAGTCTGATTTCTGTTTTTCCTCAACATCAACTTCCAACAAATGAAATAGTTCTACGATATTATCAGTATGTTATTACAGAAAAAAGTAAAAGGTTCAAGTCTACCCAAGAAAATTTTTCATGCAAAACAAAGAGCGGGAGTATGGATATGGTTTGCCTTGAGAAAGATTTCTGTTATGAAAGTATGGAGATATGCTGCCTAAGAAAAATTCTTAATATATGGAAATATGCTGGCTTTGGAAACTATAAAATTTCTGAAAAAAGTTGTGCAAAAGTTTAATAAACTAAATAAATTGTACATTTCAATGCAAAATACAAGTTATTTAGCCTGGAACACAGTTACCAAAAAAAAACACGAAAATCAGTTTGAAGAATTTCTTGAAAATTTGTTTAATATTTCTCAAAAAAACATAGAAGCAAAAAAACATCAGATAAAGATATGCCAAGATCGAATGATGCATTGGTAGAAGATTTGGCTTTTCTTCAAGATCAAAGAACATTGAGGAGAGGTGTGATAAGTGAAAAGTATGACATTGATATGAAACAAAGAGTTGAAAAGAGAATTAAAAGGTATGAAAGAATGAGATCTTATGAAAAAAAATGCAGAGTTAATGAAGGTTTTAAATTTGATTGCAAAATCAATTTAAAAATAGATGAAGTGATCTCTCATGAATCAGATGAAACCGAGGCATCAGGTAAATTATATCTTAGTCTTTTATTCCAAAATATTTTTATGAAAAAAAAGATTAAACTTTTATTCACTTTAATAAGTCATCAAAGCTTTTTGCTACTTAGGTTCTGCGACTCACCAGTCTTCAGTAGCTAATGATAGTATTTTCGATTTTCCAGAAAGAAATGAAAATCAGCTTCCAACACACACAAAGTTAGAGCGTCAAAAAACAACTAAGTCTGGCTGTTCAGAAATAGCAATAGAGTTCGACAGAGACAAGCTTCTATTAGCTACAACACCTGTTAGTGTTAGATGCGGAATTAGCATTCGCTCACAATTAATGTTTTTAGGAGCTGTTAAAGTTTTAGTTATTAAAGTTTTAAGGGAAATGTTTATGATTTAAATATATCTATTATTCATGATTTAAATATATCTAGAAGCTCAATAGCTAGAAGCAGATTCAAGTATATTGAAGATTTAGGTAAATTTTTTTTACATTCAAAATATTTATAATAAAATAAAAAATAATGATTATAAAGAGAATTTTTTTTTTTTAATCTAGGAGCCACCATCAGATTAAGCCATTATGAACAAATGTTGGGAAAGAATTTGATCTTGCACTTTGACAGTAAGTTGGTAAAAGAAATAGAGGAAAAGTTAAAAATTACAGTTAAAAAGGAAAGGGTTGTGGTATCTGTTACCTATCCTAAATTTAATACAAAAGATGAGCGTCTACTTGGAATTATAGCTGTGGAGAACAATAAAGGAAAAGATCACGCTATTGTTATTCAAAACATTTTAGAGTATTTTGAAATAGCTGATAATATAATTGGAGTCTGTACTGATACTACATCAAGTAATACAGGTAGACTAAATGGAGCTATAATAATTATTAGTAGAATTCTTAACAAGTGTTTGTTTTGGTTTATGCGTCGTCACCACATATATGAACACCATATAACTCATGCAGTACAGGGTATCACAAAAGTTAAATCTAAGGGTCTAAGCAAGTCTATGTACTTAGCTTTCCAAAGATACTGGGAAATTTCTCATGAATCTGTAAACTCCAGAACTGAAAAAATTTAATTGGAACAAGCTGGAAATAGGTAGCAGGCTTTACATCTTAGCGCTAACAGCTAAAGATTATACGAAGTATTTGATGGAGAATAAAATTTTTCCAAGAAATGACTATAACCACCTTGTAAAATATTTGGCTTTTATCTTGGCGTCGAATCTAATAAGCTTAATAAATTTAAAATACATCAAACTGGAGGTTGTCACGAAGCAAGATTCATGGCTGATGCTTTGTATATTCTTACACTAGAAATGACATCCACTATTATAACCTTTTTACCTGATGAAAATAAAAATGAAATTGAAACATGTGCTTTTATTGCTGTTTTTTATGCTCCATGGTACCTCAAGTCTAGAAGCGCTCAACATGCTGTACTTACTGATTTTAATGCATTTAAAGCAGCATATGTCATCAAGAATGAATTTAATGCCGATGTTGGCAATGCTTTGATTAAAAGTTTTCATAAACATTCGTGGTATCTTTCTCTAGCAGTAGTTGTTTTTTCACTAGTTGACTCTCACTTGGAAATGTTTGTCAAGTATGAGATTTTGAAGTCATTAATTTCCTTTCCAGTTCCAGAGCTAGAAAAAATAAATATGGAAAAACCTAATCCTGTTTTAATCTTACCAAACAGCAAGCTTTCAGAGCTTACTATTGCTGATAGCTGGCTTATATTTATACGCCTAGGAATCGTAAATTATATCAAAGATTGGATTCATTTTCATCCCAACTTCTCAAAAACTGAATCATTTAGTGCTTTTGAAAATTTTGTCAAAGGATTTAGTGTAAATAACGACTGCGCTGAGAGAAACATCGGATTAATAAATAATTTTTAAAATATTTTAAAAAAAAAGAACAGCGTCAAAATATACTATTGATAGCGAGAGAGGAGAGAAAAAAAGTATCAAAGAAAGTAACTCAAAACGAACTTATGAAAATTTAAAGCATTCTATATGATAATATATAACTAGATATATTTGTGAATTAATAGAATTATACTATCAGTTAATGATAATAATGAGATATATTTATGAATAAAAAAATTATACTGTCAGTTATTTAATTTTGATCTTTTCTAGCTAAAAAAAGGAAGATTTAGGAATTTTACAGTAAGCACTTAAAATGATCTAAGCACAATTTTTTACTATGTATTTATCTTCTACCTTTATATAGACAAGGAATTTTGGGTGTACAAGCGAAGTTTAGAAAAAAAGGTTTTTCTTTATATTTTTGGGACACCCTAATGTACAACTTCCGCAATAGCGATTTGAATTATGGAAGACAAAAAATGCGAAATCTTCGTAAGTTTTGTTTTTCGGCGAACAATCCTAGTTTTTACAAATATCATTCTTATTTTGACGTTTTATTGATTATTTTTTAATTGATTAAATTTTGTTAACTGTACCCTTTAGTGGTATATATGATTAAAACAAATATAATAAATATATCCTTAAAAACTCATTAGAGATCGTCCATAAATTACTCACAGCTAAATTTGTTTTGAAAACAGAAGCAGGAGATCTTAAGCACTTTACGCAGCAATTTTCATTAAATTTAATGCACTATTTTGATTTTTTATTTAACTTGAGGCTCTGTGAGGGAAAACTTTTGATTTTTTTTGTTTTGTTTACAAGTGAAATTTAGCATTGCGTAATTTATGGACAATTCCTTAGTGATTATAAAGTACTTTTTATGTTTTATGTATTTATAAATAATATCTTACATATATTTTACAAAAAATATATAAAATAGTAGTAAAAAACAGTATTTAACCATTATTTCCACATTTATGAGCTATATAATTGTTGAACGATAAACGTTTGTTTTTATAACTGTTTTGATAACAGAAGTTTATGCGTAGATACGTTTTAGTTACTATAAAAAGATTGAAATACCAACTAGAGTTTCTCTTTAGGGGAAGTTTATGCGTAGATACGTTTTAGTTACTATAAAAAGATTGAAAAACTAGAGTTTCTCTTTTGTGGGAAATTTGTATCTCAAAAATCATTTTATCAATTTCAGCGCCAATTTAAAACAATATCTTCTTTTAGATGTATCAAATAAGCGAGGCATTATCATTTAAAATGATGACTCTCCAGACTAGCCGCAAGACTTAAGTCGGGTAATTCTTTATTAAATCCTTGTTTCCCGGTTAAAAAGTAGGTCTCGATTACTCCTTTGCCCTAGTATTTGAAATAATAATTTTTAATATCAAAGTTAAATTCTTTACTAAAAAAAAAAAAAATAATAACTAAACAAACAGCAACCTTCATCTCTACAGGACCTCTTTTTTCAAGCTTGTAGGTCCCTAACTGATCAAGAATTTTATGAGATTCTGGACTAACATGTATACGCAATGCAAGCCCGCTAGACTCCATGCGAGAGGCATAATTAACCGTATCTCCAAATAAACAATATCGAGGCATTTTCAAACCAACAACACCAGCAACACAAGGACCTTAAAACAAAATGTATAAATAACATTTATAATTTATATATAATAATTATTACGAGTCTATATTATTTATCTTTATTGATAATATTAAATGTAGAAGTTCATGTACCTAGGGCTCCTTGTACCTTGGGCCACCCCATTTTATTTTATCCTTCAGGTGATTAGTTATAAAAAAAAATTATTTTTAATCATTTTGATTCTCAGAATGAAATATATATATATATATATATATATATATATATATATATATATATATATATATATATATATATATATATATATATATATATATATATATATATATACAGACCCACTGAGAGGGGGGTACAGGCGGTGCACTGCTTCAGGGTCCTTAGAACAATTGGGGCCCATAAACCAAAGCTTTTTTTAAAAATAATTACAATAATAACTACAAAAATTTATTAGTGACATACTTAAAAAACACATATTTTGCACATTTAGAAAAAGATATTCATACACTTAAAAGATGGGCATATTTTGGTCCAATATTCTTAAAAGAATATTAGATGTTACCCTATTTTTGGGTGAACGTGAATTGGCTTTTTGGGGATCCTCCCAGCGAATTGGAGATGTAGATAATGGTAACTTTTTGGGTCTTATAGAGTTACTTTCATATTGAGACCCTATACTTAAAGAGCATGTATTGTCAGTGGAAGAATCTCAGCGAAAAGGCAAAAGACTTCAAGTTCATTATCTATCAGCTGATACTCAAAATGAATTCATTGCAGAATACTCAGATTTGGTGCGACAGCATATTTTACAAGAAAGAAGATCTGCTAAGTATTTCGCAATAATGGTCGATGCAACACCAGATTCGTCACATACAGAGCAAACAACATTCATATTACGATATGTAATATTAAAAGATTCACAATATGAAATTGTTGAACGATTTGAAACATATGTATATTGCAACAATAAAACTGGGGATGAAATATCTCAAATGATAGTGGAAACATTTCAACATAACTCCATTCCTCTCTCAGATTGCAGGACACAAGCATATGACAATGGATCAAATATGGCTGGAAGATACAATGGTGTGCAAGCCAAAATACTTCAGTTATGTCCATTAGCACTATTTTCCCCTTGTGGATGTCACACACTTAATCTTGTGGGAAATGATGCGGCAGAATGTATTCGTAAAGCTGTAACATTTTTTGGAACGATTCAAACAGTATATAATTTGTTCAGCTCAAGTCACGATGGAAGATATTATCAAAACACATCAACTGCTCACTAAAAGGAATGTCACATACAAGATGGTCAGATCGTGTTGAAAGTGTCAAACCTTTTGCAGCACAACTTCCTGGGATTAAATTGTCTTTGGAAGAGCTTTTAGAATTAAATTTGACTTCTAAAACAAGAGCTGAAGTAGAAGGTGCCTTATATTATATTAATTCATTTTCCTGCATAATAATGTCATTGATATTGTACAAAATTCTTGATTCAATTGATTTTTGCAACAAAGTTATTCAAGCAAGAAATGCAACTTTAGATGTGGAAGTGGACAACATAAACCACTTACTGAGACAACTTCTTGAGCTTCGGAATAAATGGAAAGATATCTGGTCAGAATCAAAGAATGTTGCAATGAATTTGGATAAAGAAGTCAAACTATCAAGAGGACGTGGTGGTGCAAATCGCAAAAGAGCCAGAGTTATTGGCGAGCCAGAGGATCAAGGGTTTACAGATTTAAATGAAGATGAGA